CTCGTACATCCTGAATGCTGGAGAGGAGAGCCGAGAGATTCAGGGAAAATGCCACATGATCAGTAACAATGATGTAGGGAAACTTCATCTAGACCAACAATCCATGGATCAATATTTATTCAAATATAAGTCTCTGTCATATTTAGCCATTTTCTCTTTAACCATCACCTTTGAGTGACATTCATATAATAAAGTGAGAATTTCATCATTCATTCAGCAGTAAAATATTAACTTCACCTCTTACACAAATTTAATCAGCCCGTAATTTCCGGATGCAGCCAAAGGCATAGGTAACCGGGACAATTCCCCAGAGCCCCCAGGACACAATGCACTATGACACTGGGTCAGGCTCATGCGGGGGTGGGACAGCATGGTCTACACTGAAGTTCATGCACAGACCTGCTTGAGGAGGGATCTGGGGTTTACAGGAGCTGGGATGTAGACACCAACACTCAGCGTGGAATAAGGAGGACCTGCAGAAGCTGAGGAGAACATGCCCACACACACACACACACATCATTTTAATGTGATATAGCAGCCTGCACTACATATTCTGTTTAATTCAGGTAACACTCTACTTCTGTGCAGTACATATATCTGTCTAACACATGTATGTGAAATTTAGCTCACACTAACCTAAACCACTCAATTAGTGTTTGAGTGAGATAATAAAGACCAAATAATGATCAAACACAGTGTTAATGCTGAACATTCTTACCTTTAATTTCCCTGGATATTTTGGTGTTATATATAAGACAAATTAATCCAACCATTAGCATCACAGCTGTAGGGATCAACACTGCAGGTATAACGTAAATCCTTGGCATCTGTGAAGGTCCTAAACAAACAAGGAGATTAACTCAGTTTGTCTGTAAGAACTTCAGTCAGAGAAGGTTCCGGAATGGACTTGGATTAGATAACAGGGGTGCAAAATAGCTATGTCATTTATATCCAGTACAATCAATCTGCTCCTGACAGACAGGTACAGACCACATATTCTTTGTCTTGTCTTTATTTACCTTTGTGTTTTATGTACAGTACTTAGTGTAGCGCAGTGGCTTGGTGGTTTGCACCTTATCTACACCAAACTCTGCATGATTGCTTGCTCTCCCTCTGTCTGGGACCCTGTCACTGTTACCATGTAGTAAATGGGTGCAAACAGAAGATGCCATCTGTACATTTTTGAGCTACTAGCTGAATAAATAAATATGAATGCAGTGAAAGAACAAGTGCTGTCATAAATGGAGAAGTCGGTGCAGACACGCTGTATACTGTATTGTTACTTTGGTCTCTTATTGTTTGCATTCTGTGACGATGCATCTGCAATAAGTTATTGGAGAGGAGAAGCTGTGTTAGTGTCCAGCAGCAGCAGCAGACCATGAGGGACCCTCTGCTCTGAGACCTACCCAGCTCAGCACACAGCTGTTTGATGTTCCCCTCTGCAGCCTCTTCACTGACTGGGTTGGTGGCCACACAGCTGTAGGCAGGACTGTCCTCCCAGACCTCCAGGGAGAGAGACAGGCTGGTGCTGAGGTCAGGGCTGCTGGTTTGGTTCAGTCTCTCGGTCCCTCTGTACCAGGACAGGGTGACGTCTCTCCCGTTCTCCACAAAACACAGAACCCAGCACCTCCCACTGGCTGATAATAGGACTGATGAGCGACTGGATGCTGGAGATGTGAGGAGGAGAGAGAGACGCGTCACATGGGCAGTGTAGTGTCATGCTAAATGTAATAAATGTGAAAGTGAATCACAGAGACGCCTCAAAGGAGCCCCGTCATGTGATCAGATCTCTCAGACATGAAGAGCAGATCTAGTGTAGATCAGTCAGACGGTCACCTTGTAAGGATGTTATGTGTGGCCTGTTCACTGGATCTGTGGGTAAACAGGAGAGCAGATTATCTACAGACCTGCTGAGAGAGCAGGATTATGGCAATAAGGAGAATGGGTCAGAACCAGAATGAGACTGGAAGGAATAAAGATAAGAGAGTGAACAGGAAGTTGAACCTTTATAAGACTGGAATGGGGAACACATATAAAAGTGTAATGAAGTATTAAACTGATAATTTCATATCACTTACTGTATATGTTTAAATCAAATTCTTTTTTCAGGATGTAGTCCTTTATGATGTGTAACTGGTAAATCCCAGTGTCACTGGTGCTGATGTTTGTGATGCTGAGAGATCCAGTCTTTGGGTCCAGCTGCAGCC